CATGGAGCTTTGTTATAGATTTAAAATACATATTTAACAGCGAAATTAAAGACGTGTTCTTAACATGTGCAATCTGTATATCTGAATTTTTAATATTACAATCTGTATTTAATTTCGCTGTTAAATATGTAATAAAGTTTCATGACACGCTTCTCTATAATGATAACGCTTTATCTTTGTCAATTTGTAATCATTGTGGATATGTGAGCTATCTATACTTTTGTAAGTATCTACATTTCTGAGAAGGACTTCAAAGATAATTGAATCGTTCAAATGAAGATAACTACAGAGTATTAAAATTATTCTAATTAATAATTTTTTTACGCGCCGTTTAGTCGCGCTAACTCTCATTAGCCTACTTTTATTTATTTATTTAGAATTTGAGAGTTTGTTTGTAATTATTATTGTTTTTAATCGTTTTTGTGATAATTCGTGACTGTCTGAGAATTAACGCTATCGAGAAAGAATGGTATGCTAAAGAGTGGTTAGCCATTATGTCGAGAATATTCGAAGCTGTCGTAATATTTCGGCATGTCAAAGGTATTTAACGCGCGACAAATTAAAGGGACTAGGAAGGTTTAAAATTTTACGAATCAACTCGCATATAATTGTTTATGACAAGACTCTATCCTTGATTGTTTCACAATATTATATATACAATAAAGAAATCATCAACCATCTACGTCAATTCAATAAAGTAATTGCGAATGAAACAACGTAAAAACTCACAAGGATTGATAACAATAACAAAATCAAACATAGATGTTAGCAGCTACATTAACATGACTCTGTATTATAACTATAATAGCATACACACAATAACTAAAATAACTTAAAACAATTGTTACAGCAGCAACAAGGACAGCAGCAGAAGTTACAACTATAAAAGCAGCAGTAAGAACAGCAAAAAAAGTTGCATTTACAACAGCAACGAAAATTACAACTATGGAGCGGCAATTATCGAGAACATCGTCAAAAGAGTCACTAAATCAATCGATGGATGAGATTGCACAACAAGTAAATCAACTGATGAGTCGATCAAATTCACCTTCATTGCTGCAACAACTGGAGCCAAGTACAACAACTACACAGCAGGCTGTTGAGCAAACTACACCGATGACTCCTCAGTCTTATACGCCTTCTGCAGTACCTGTTCCAACAAGCTCAGCTAATAATTCTGATACGGACAGTTCTAATGGAAGTTTTGAAATCATATCACATACCGAACTTGTCTTGCAAGATATCCAACCATCGCAAGAACAAATAAACGAACAGATCATACAAGCACAGCAGCAACAAGCGTCCAATTCATCTTCATTGCCGCAACAATTAAAGCCGATTTTAAAGCAAAGTACAGATGACAGTTCTGAATGCAATACGGATTGCAGTGGTGATATGGATGACTCGTATGCTGGAGACATAAATCTTGAAAACATAGACGTTAATTTGCCAGTTGTTGAACAAACTACATCGATAATTTCTCACCCTTGTATGCCTCCTGCAATACCTGATCCAAGCTCAACTATTAATAATTCTGATACGGATGATAATTGTGGTGGAAATGTAGATCTTGACAACATGGATGTTAACTCACTAGATGTGCAACAATCATTGCCGCAATCGGAGTTAAAGCAATCAGATTCGACTTTAAAGGAATTGAATTTGATCTTAAATCTAAGTACAGCAAGTACGCAACCAACTGTTGAACAAACTACACCGACAATTTCTCAGCTTTGTAAGCCTCCTACAGTATTTGCTCCAAGTTCAACTAATAATGATTCTGATACAGATAGCTACTCTGATTTGGATGACATTTATTATGAAACAGATGACGATGATTCTGATATGTATGTAGACATGTCTGATGGAGACGTAAATCTTAAAAACATGGATGTTAATTTGCCAGCTGTTGTTGAACAAACTACACCGATAACTTCTCACTCTTGTGTGCCTCCTGCAGTACCTAATCCAAGTTCAGCTAATAATAATTCTAATACAAATGATAATTATGATGGAAATATAAATCTTGAGAACATGGATATTAATTCACAAGATGCGCAACAATTATTGCCACAATCGAAGTTAAAGTTAATCTTAAAGCAATTGGACTCGAGTTTAAAGCAGTTGAATTCGATTTTAAATACAAGTACAGCAAGTACGCAAGCAACTGTTGAACAAACTACATCGAGTACTTCTCAGCTTTGTATACCTCCTGCAGTATTTGCTCCAAGCTCAACTAATAATGATTCTGATATGGATGATAACTATAGAAATGTAGATCTTGAGAAACAAAACATAGATGTTAATTCACAAGATACGCAACAATCATTGCTGCAATCGAAGTTAATCTTAAAGCAATTGGACTCTACTTTAAAGCAGCTGAATTCGATCTTAAATCCAAATACAGCAAGTACGCAATCAACTGTTGAACAAACTATATCGATAAGTTCTCAGCCTTATATGCCTCCTCCAATACTTGCTCCAAATGTAACTAATAACAGTTCTAATATGAATGTAAAGCCTGCGAATATGGATTTTGACTTTGAAGGTGCTCAATTAAGATTGCGAAAGAGGGAATGTAATTGTAAGTACTTCTAAATTAGAGATTATAAAAATATATTATATCTTTTTAATCTCTTTTTAATCTCTAGGATCATAATTTAAATATTTAAGACAATTTAAGTAATAAGAGACACGTAATCCTTCTGTATATATTCTAATGTTCTAAATAATTAATGTAAGTAATTAATACACAAAAACATACATAGTTTCACTCAGAGATTGTCATAATTTTTTTAAATATTATTGCACATACAAAATAAAGTAAACGGCGAAATAAGAGCCAATGCATAACACATTTAATAAAAGATATTAGTCAAAGATACATAAAATAAAAATAAATAAATAAATAAAAAACGAAGCAGAACAGCGTATATTAATGTATAAAACAATTCAGAGAAAAGATAACATAACATAACATAACATTACAAGTTTCGGCTGCGGGATTGAGCCCTCCTCAGATGTTAAATAAAGTGAATATAATAGAAATAGAAAAAGAATACAAAAATTTTTTTTTATTTTTTTATTTTATGTATCTTTAACTAATATCTTTTATTAAATGTGTTATGCGTTGACTCTTATTTCGTCGTTTACTTTGTTTATTTTGTTATACATAAAGAGTCTTTACACCGTTGTTATTTAATTGCACATATATTTTTAATCATATGTTTAAAAATCTTATAAAGTGTAACTATAATATTATCTATGTACTATATATACGAATAAATAAATCAAAGAATATATGAATACATATTATATAAAAAAAAGAATTGTAGCAATATTCGTAATATGAAATTAAATCTTTTTCTTTTGAGCATGATATTTTACTGCACAAATTTGAAGATTTAGGAGCATTGAATGTTTATAGTTCGAGATTCTCCTGTAATAAATTTTTTTATTGATATATAAAATAAATTGTAATTGTTTATGTAATATTATATGTATGTTACTGATATGACAATTTTTTTTGTTAAAGTCATTTGTAACAGATTACGTCGTCTAGAAGAAAAACTAACGAAATCTGTACAACCGAAAAATGCATTCACGGTATTATATACAATAATGGCTAGCACCTCAAATATACCCCCTAGAACAATAGAATGGAACATGCTTGCAAAATCGTCTTTTATCACTTATGTTGAGGTAATTATTTTGTTATTTTAATTAATAATTTATTATAATTCTTACAATATTAGAGAGATGTTATTTGTAATATTATGCTGCATGTCATCTCATCTTTAAAATACTTTAATAATATTCAAGGATATATGTAAATTAGCCAATAATGCTTTAATAACATTTACAGTTTAATGGTAAACATTACCGTGGAAAAGGATTATCTAAATCACTTGCTCGTCAAGATGCAGCTGAAAAGATATTAAAAGATTTATTTTTTGAAAAAATGACAGCAAAATCTAAAACAGGTATATATGGTCGATCCGATACACAAGCTAATTCATTTGTGAATAAAAAGAAAGAAATGATTGACGCACAAAACGCCACTGCCACAGTCACGAGTGCTAAAAAAGTGATTTCGTGGCGTGCATTGGCCAATTTTGCACTTTATAAACTTATACTTGATTGGAATAATGAGAGAACATCGAATTCTATTGTTAAAAATATTAGAACTCAGAACGAAATTTGTCAAGAGACAATAAAACAACTTCCGGTATATCCTACAAGTATACCTCCAGTTGAGTTACTATATTATATGCAACCTAATCTTATATATGTTCTAAACCGTATTGGTAAAGTACCACATGAGGTATTTACTGTAACTACTAAAATTAATGGAATGGAATTTTCAGGAACAGGTACCTATATATTATATATATTATACTACGAATTATCATAAAATATTATGACATTCTTTTATATATATATATATATAAAATATCATTTTTATCTTCCAGCTGCAACCAAAAAGGATGCAAAGATAAAAGTGGCTAAAACAGCATTATTGGAATTATACAACGTGAATTATACAATGGAATTATACAATGTAACTCCAGAGTAAATTATCAAGATTCAATTAATAAACAATCTCACTTATTACCCTGGCGAAAAAAAACAGAAAAGTACAGAAAACCTACTAGATTGGGACAAGATTTTAAAAATTCTTAATTTTTCTTAAATATTTGTAGTAGAATGTAGAGTGAGGTTTGTTTGTCTTAGAAATACTTAGTTTTTCGCAGATTAAAATTAAAATTTTTTTTGCCACTTTTTTTTTACGTTCCACTACAAATATCTATGAAAAACTAAGAATTTCTAAGATCTTATCTCAAGTCTCAGCCCCTGTTTCGGCGATGAGCTGCTCTCTGGTGGTGAATCTCTTTTTTCCGAATCATTTCTTCAGGTTTGGAAACAGGAAATAGTCGCAGGGGGCTAAATCTGACGAATATGTTGGATGGGGAAGCAATTCGTAGTGGAATTCGTTGAATTTGGTCATCAGTGCCGGGCACGTGTGAACCCGTGCATTGTCTTGATGGAAGAGCACTTTCTTCATCGCCAAATGAGGACGTTTTTTTTTTTTAAATGTTGTTGAAACGGTCCAATAAGGCTGCGTAGTAATTGCCATTGATCGTTTGCTTCGACGGAAGGTAATCGATATGAATTATACCGCGTGCATCCCAAAAACTGTGGCCATCACCTTTCCAGCCGACTTCACGGTCTTCGCCTTCTTCGGAGCTGGTTCACCCGGTGAAGTCCATTGTTTTGACTGTAACTTCGTCTCGGGGTGTGAAGTAATAGATCCATGTTTCGTCCACAGTAATGCATCGACGCAAAAATTCATCTGGATTACGTTGAAATATTTCCAAACATTGTTTTGAAATCACACGGTTGCGCTTATAGTCCACAGTGAACAAACGCGGCACCCATCTTGCCGATAACTTTTCATACTCAATTGTTCGTGCAAAATTGAAATTACTGTGCCATGTGATATGCTTGTGGCCTCAAAGCTCGCGCACTTTCACTCGTCGATCAGTCAAAACAATATCGTGAACTTTATCGATGATTTCTGGCGTAGCAGCCTCAATTAGACGTTCCGAACGAGGTGCATCACATGTGGATGTACGACCACGTTTAAATTCATTCACCCAATTGTATACAGTCGCAAACGCTGGTGCAGATGTGCTATGAACATTATCCAACTCGATTTTGATTTCTTTCGGCTTAAACCTTTCATATGTAGATGTTTGATCACTGCACAAAACTCGTTTTTTTCCATTTTGCAAAAAATACAAAGGTTCGCTTTAATCGTCTACAGAAATGAAACCACGCGATGAATTCCGCTCAAAATTTGACAGTAATCAGCTGAAAGATGCTACTTATCAAAAAGTAATGTGACATGACACTGCGAGTACCTTCTGACAGATTTTCTAAGAACTTTGTGACTTGCCCTCGTAATATAAGTACGCGTGCAGATTGGTTTTTTTTATAAATCTGAATTTTTTTACAAAATATTAATAATTAGATATTTTGATGACACTATAATTTTATTTCATTATTTATATTTACAATTGAATTCAGAGTATCCCATAACAATTAATTAACCCTTACCGTACAAGATAATTTGATGCCTCATCCATACAAGTATGAGTCATTAGATCCATCCGTTTTTTTCATCTATTCAGAATGATTAAAAGAATCTCTAAAAATTCACCAACATACTTTCAACTTTCTAGAATAAATATTGAAACTTTATTTTGGAAAATAATAAAATGTAGTATACCTAATTATAATTACCGAAAGATTTAAAGAAGTTTGCACGAACAGGAATCGCTTGGTCACTAGTGACCCATACTTGTAAGGGTTAATATTTCAAGGGTCAACATTAGTAAACGAGAATGAAATTTTGAACTAAAATTTGAACTTTGTCAATTGTGGCTCAGGGCTATTACTTATCGAGTTATTAACAATGAAAGTTGATCACTCAGATAGCACGCAGCTGGAATAGGCAGGAGCGTTTCTAATTTTGTATATTAACATATAAATAAATCAATAAATAGATGGTAAATAAATATGGTCTGAGCCAAAATTTAGTGCAAAAGAAATGAGGCAAAGAAACTTTTAGTTCAAAATTTCATCCTCGTTCACTCCCTAAAATATTAATTGATCATTATGGAACACCCTGTATATTAGATCAGTGCAAAGTTTGTGCCCAATTCTTATAAATGGAACTGGTGAAGTAGCATGGCTCTATTGTTGTTTATGTATACATATTATATCGTTGGAAAGATAACAGTCATAAATGTCATTTCAACATTAGAAGTGTTTGGTCACCGACGAGATAATAGTATTTCGTCGGTAGTTTGGTTAAATTTAAGTCGAGAAAAAAATCATTAAAGATGGACCAGGAGAAATTGCATCTTCGATGTAATGCTTCACGAATTTCGGAAAGGAACAAGTTAGACCGCATCTCTGTAGCCATTTCTATGCTCAGACGTCTGGAAAAAGAGGTTCTTTTGAATCGTTTGGTGGCTGGCGACGAAAAATGGGTCCTATATACCAACGTCAAACGCAAATGTACTTAGAAGGAAGCAAATAAACCGGCAAATTCAATCACTAAAGCCGAGTTGCATCCGGAGAAGGACATCTTGCTGTGCGTTTGATGGGATTGCGTTGAAGGTATTATATATTTTGAACTGCTTCCTGTTGGCCAAATGATTGATTCAAAGAAATACTGCCAACAACTAATCAAAGTGAACGCATTAATGAAAGAAAAACGCTCGATCTTGGTTCGTAGAGGCGTCATCTTCCATCATGACAACGTCAGACCATATTCTTCGAAAATGACTCTGGACAAATTGAAACAGTTGAAATGGGAAATCTTATTGCATCCACCATATTCTGCGGACATCGCACCCTCCGATTTTTATTTGTTTCGGTCATTACAAAACGATTTAATTGGCAAGAATTTCGATTCTGTAGAGGCTGTCAAAAATCACTTTACCGCGATCTTTGATGCAAAACCACACAATTTTTTCAAACATGGTTTCCATAAATTAGTTGAATATTGGAAAACGATTGTCGAAAAT